GGTGCTTTAGACCACTGAGCCATCTCACCAACCCCTCACAGGAATATTTTAATCGATAGTTGTTATCCCTCCCAACTTAATTTGATGAATAGTATAAACTCTAGAAAATCTGTTAATGGATCCTTTCAAATATTACAAGCTGCATCTTTCTCTCACACGCACCCATATCACACTTGGTTTTCTGAGATGCACCTAAGCTGAGGTTTTAGACTATGTGGCTAGCCTGCTTGTCTTTTCTCACAACCAATTGTCTGGGAAGACTCAGGCAAGGCTTCAAGAGGACTGGGAGGACCCTCGGCCCCACCTCTTGACCATTGCAGATACCGGAGTGTGGATTCTGCCTATGGGAGCCACACTGGTCACTTCGCAGTTCTGCTTCTCACCCCTGGAACCAGTATGCTGCCCACTCCACGCTCAGGGTTTGGGGACTCCAATTCACAGCTAACATGCCCATGAGTTCCCTTCCCAAGCCCCTCAGCTTGTATTTGGACTTTTTCAGACAGAGTCTCCTATGCAGGTCAGGCTGGCCTTGAGCTTACTTTGTGGCCCATGCTTGCCTCGAACTCGAAACAATCTTCCTGCCTCAGCCTCCCAAGTGCTGGGATTACAGGCACGCACCACCACGCCAGCTTCCTCATCATTTGGTTTCCACTCAGTGGTCACAGAGAACAGCATATGCAAGCTCGGGGCTCTGAAGCGCCTTTTCTCTCTGAGCAGCACCACAGGTTTCTGGCTGGGGAGAACAGTCCTGGGCAGGGGAAGAACGGAGCCTGTTTAAAACTTTACCTGTGACTGTATAGAGTCAAGTGACCTCAGTGCTCACTCTTAAGGAAACCGAGTCACCCTGTGGCCTAGGGAAGGGACTTGCCAAACCCTAAATACTTCCACCTTGCTCTCATATACTCAGCACCTCAGGGATTCAGTTCAGCCAAATACCAGCCACAAGGAACGGTGTCATTTGTGCTTTACTTTTAGAGTGATATAAAAGTCAAGGGATAACAGCTTATAAAACTTCCTGTTTGTGCACAGTTAATTACTATCCCAACAACCAAGAGACCTGTAGAACTCCTTTCTGCACGTGGGTGCACACACTGCCCAGGCACAGACACAGCAACCTGACTCTGATTCCCTGGCAGCTGCAATGTGTCACCTCAAATTTTCTGAAGCAACAGGCTAACCCACCATAGCCATGGAAGTATTTTTAGCTGAGTACTTTGGCTTGGATTGAAAGGGCAATTCGGTACACAGACAATAACCCAAATTTTCAGGTCATCTAACTGTTCTTCCAAATAGAAGCAGGTGACCTGGCCCACAGGCCATGGGCATGACTGTGCATATTTCCTCCTGTCTGGGGTGACATCCTGGCAGCTAGCCCTGGGCATGTGAGGCCAAACTTCTATTCAAGATAAGGACACCGTATTCCCAACACACCTGGTATTAACGACAACAGCTAGAATTGAGGTCCCAGAATAAATGTTTAACACAAACAACTGCGAAGACAGAGCACTCAAGCTATCCGTAGTATTAAGAAATTCATTTGGGGGGCCTGGCCTTAGCTCAGCTGTTTAAGTGGCTGCTTCCACAAAGCTGTCAGCCTCAGGTTGCTGTAGATCGATCCCCACAACTCTCCAGCCAGCCAAACCAGCCAAACCAGCCATGAGGGCATTCGGAGAAAAAAAAAAAAAACAAAAAAAAACCTTATTCCACTCTTTGGGCTGGTGAGATGGCTCAGTGGTCTAAAGCACCTACTTAGAACAAGCTCAGCAAAGCACAGGGACCACGGTTCAATCCCCCAGCACCACATGCCAGCCAGCCCCGCCCCCTGGTGGGCTGAGCTGACCACACACACACATAAAAAAATAAAAATAAAAAAAAAAAAAAAAAAGAAATTCATTTGGATGCTTCAATAAATGCCTTTATACTCTTGGAATTGACACTTCACACTGACAATAAACAAATCTTAAACAAAATTACTCAACTAGTGTGTGTCCTTTCAGTGTTTAAGACACTATAACCATGGGTTTATTTCCTGAGTTCTAAATCTGAAACAATAATGAATACTGTAATAAGTATTTTTTTAAAAAATTACTGTTAAATTTGCAATCCCTTAAGCCACATGTACAACTTTTTTTGCAACAGAAGTCCATCTTTCTTTTTGAAAAGTGTTAAAAATGTCCAATAACTTCACTGAAATAGTCCCGGCCTATCACCTATGCTATTACTGTTTCCTTAGTTACTTCGCAAGTAGTACAGCGGAACCACCGACGCGGTAAAAGTTAGCACGCACGGCCTGGGTTGGGGCTCTGGGCCAGCCTCCCCCGCAGGAGGCCCCGGAGCAAAGGCATCAGCGACGCTCGCGGCGCTCGGGCTGCCGTCCGGCCTGTAGGAGAAGCCGCTCCGCCCGTCGCGAGCGCCCCGTCTCTGCGGCCGCCCCGGGTCCCGGCGGGCAGGGCGGCAGAAGGCGGGACGCGCAGCAGCGGCTCGTCCCCACCCCGGAGCGCGGCCGCCGTGACCGCAGCAGTCCACGCCGCCCGGGACACGTCGTCAGCGCGCCGGCACCTGCTCGAGCCTGCGCGCGGAGACAGACGCGGCTCGGGGCCCGAAGCCCGAAGCCCGAAGCCCGAAGCCCGAGCAGGTCTCCGCCGCGGCTCCCAGGGCGGAAACTTCTCGACGACGGGAGGCTCAGAGCCGCTCGAGCTCCGGGCCTGGCTCGAGGCGCCCCGCACGGGCCGGCTGTGCATCCCGCGCCCGTCCGGGCCCCTCCCGCCACGCTCACCTTCTGCTCCTCGGCGGACGCCGCCTCCGGGACCTCGGCGGACATCGCGCTCCCTCTGCGGGCCAGGCGCCAGAGGAGTGGCGAAGACAGGGGCCGTCACCGCCCCCTCCCCGCGCCGGGCCGCCGCCTCGGAGGTGGTCGCTGTCTGTGACGCCGCGCCCTGCGACCCCGCAGCCCGCGCCGCGCCCCCACCTCGCTGACACCTCCTCAGGCCGCGAGACCCGAGCACTTCCTCTTCCCTTCAAAGGTCGCGGCGCGCGCTCGCCCCGCTTCCGCCCGGGACCGCCTCATTTCCGTCTGCAAGCCGCCTCACATCCGCCCCGACTGCCACACATCCGCCCAGACTACCACACATCCGCCCCGGCTGCCTCACATCCGCCCCGGCTACCTCACATCCACCCCGGCTGCCGCACATCGCCCCGACTGCCTCACATCCGCCCCGACTGCCACACATCCGCCCAGGCTGCCTCACATCCGCCCCGACTGCCACACATCCGCCCCGGCCGCCTCACATCGCCCCGACCGCCTCACATCGCCCCGGCCGCCTCCCATCCGCCCCGGCCGCCTCCCATCCGCCCCGACCGCCTCCCATCCGCCCCGGCCGCCTCACATCCGCCCCGGCCGCCTCACATCGCCCCGACCGCCTCCCATCCGCCCCGGCCGCCTCCCATCCGCCCCGACCGCCTCACATCCGCCCCGGCTACCTCACATCCACCCAGGCTGCCGCACATCGCCCCGACTGCCTCACATCCGCCCTGACTACCACACATCCGCCCCGACTATCTCACATCCGCCCCGGCCGCCTCCCATCCGCCCCGGCCGCCTCCCATCCGCCCCGGCCGCCTCACATCGCCCCGACCGCCTCACATCCGCCCAGACAGCCGCACATCCGGCCAGGCTGCCGCACATCCGGCCAGGGAAAGCTTCGTAGCCGCGAGGATCTGGCTCGCATCCGGCCAGGTTTACCTCACATCCGGCCGGAGCCGCCTCTCCAGCACTCAGGCTGCCCGGGAAATGCGCTTCGAGAGCCGCGCCGCGTCCGCGCCCGCCTGGCGGCCCCGGAGCCTTTCCTTCCGCGTCCTCGGCCTCCCCGCGTCCCTCTCGCGCCTCTCAGTCCGCTGCCAAGCCCGCGCGTCTGCGAGGCCCAGCCCGCTGAGCCGCGGCGACCGGCGAGGCTGCGGAGACGCGCGCTCGTGCGAGCGCGGCCGGCCAGCTCGAGGGGGAGGGCGGGTGGTCGGAGAATGCCGCCGACTGGGCTGGCTGGGAAACTCGGAATGCGCGCCCGGAGTGACTTACTGACGAGCTGCCTTTTATTTTAAAGAGGGGGAAAACATCAAAACAAGGTAGGAGGGTAGGGCTGGGGAGAGCGCAGTAGCGAGCACAGGGTCCCGGTGCCGCCAAAAAAGGGTGACAGTGGTTACTGCATTGCATATTGTTATCGTTAGTTACGCAGCGCTAGACGTCAGCATTTACTTGTCCAGACAACATTAGCACAAACTTTTCAACCAACCGAGAGAAACCAGCAGCGTAACTAGCTTAGCTAGGACACAGACGCAGATACTGCCGTTTCCTTCTTCCCCTCCCCATCCGTTTCCGTTTACTTTTCAGTGTTTCTTCCCACTTTACCGTACCTGTGGTACTTTTGGATCTCATTTGCTCCTTCGGCGTCTCTCTAGGGAGACATTACAGCGTCTGCACACGTGTCTGGTTATTTCGTTGGTGAGTGTGGCCTGGACTTGCATCCATTCACCTAGAACAGTCTGGTCTATCCTTTAGAGCTGAGTAACACTCCATTGTATAAAAAGGCCCCATTTTGTTTTCTCCATTCCTCTGTTAGGAGGCATTTGGGTTGTTTCCAAGATTTCGTACTTGGTATGTGTTTAATTCCTCTGGGGGAAGAGTCGGGCCGGGAGGCGGCTCCGGGAGGCCACCTGGCTAGGCGGGACTTCAGCCCTCGATTTCGGAAGCGTCTGCACCCCGCTTTCCACAGTGGTTGCCCCAGTCTCCACTCAGTGACGGGGGAGAAGGGCTCCTTCCCCCCAGCCTCCCAGCATGTTACTGATTCCTTGATCATCTTCTTTCTAGGATGAGATGGAATCTCAGTGTTCTAATTCGCACCTCGCGAATAACCAGTAATGAACATTTTCTTCATATATTATTTGTTCTTTGCATTTCTTCATCTGAGAAGTCATGTTCATCCCAGATGCCCATTTTTATATCAGGTCTTTAGGGGGCTCTGATTTTGTTGTTGTTGTTCTTGATAGTAATCCTTCGGCTAAGGAACAGCTGGGCAACATTTTTTCCCAAATTGTGGGTTACCTCTTCACTCTGTTGGTAGTTTCTGGAAAGCTTTTTAATGAGATCCTGGTTATTGATTCTTTGTGGTAGTTCCTGTGCAGTCAGTTTTATTCATGTCTGCCTACTGCAGTGTCTTCTGTCTTCCGGAAGATTTAATGATTCTGCCTTAATATCTAGATTTCGGATCCATTCTGAATTTACTTTATGGTGAAAGAACTGCCTTCCTGTAAGTAGAACTTTAACGTAGATTAAGTAGAACGTGGAAGAATAATGTTCTTAATAATAAATCTTTATCCGAATAATGGTTGTATCTCCTGTATTTATGAACTTTAGTGTGTTTATGACTCTAGGTTAAAATCCAGCAGACACACACAGAGAGAAAAGTAGAATATGTGACCTTGGATAAGAAAACCTGCTCCTGAAAGGCAGTAGGACTCACATGAGGCAAGTTAGAATTTCGGAGCGACAGATGTTAGTGCGGTGGAGAATTCACCGCTGGGGGTGGCGGGCACACCTGTAATCTCTGCACTAGGGGAGGCTGAGGCAGGAGGGTGGCAAGACTGAGGAGTGCGCCCTGAGCAAATGAACAGGCCCCAGTCTCAAGAAATGCGGAAAGGCTGGGAAATCGGCCCGGTGGAGGCCCTGGCGCCATCCGCAGTGTCCGAGCACACGCACCGGCATATCCGAGGCGGCGCCCGCCGGGAGCCTGCGGCACCCACCGCGGCCGGGCTGTTGCGTGGCGCCTCCGTGCGCGCGCGCGCTCGCGAGCCTGCCGCCACGGTGCACGGCTGAACCGGGTGCGTAGCGGTTCCCGCACGCTGGGCTGCAGGATGCCGACCCGGTCGCGAGCAGCCCCGCGGGGTTGGCTGTCAATCCGGGCGGGGCTGGATCCCCGCAAGCCGCTCGGCGGCTCCAGATTTCTGCGGCGCTGTGGGCCTCGCTGCTTTACTCGGGCGCCCTCTGGTGGGAGCAATGCTGTATTTTTGGCTGTTCACATAAAAGTTTGGAAAAAGACAAGAGATGGAGGGTCTTTTCCAGATTCAGTCACTCTGGCTTAAGAGTTTATAGGATGTAAAGAGGTTACGCCTGACGCCGCTAATTCCTCAGTCATCCCAGAGAGGAAGCCTCGCCGCTCTGTGAGGCTGCCTGGCACATGCAACGTTTAAAAATTTTTTCTACAGTGAAAGACATTGCCTTGAATTTCTCTTGCTTGGAACACGCTTACCCATCGTTCTTCCCAGTTTCTGGGAAGCGGTGCTGGATGTCCCAGCTTCTGAGGGTCTTTATGAAATGCAATCAAAAACACAGCGAGGGGCCGGGGAGATTGCTCAGTAGAATAAGCGCTTCCCTGGCAAGCGCAAGGGTCTGAGTTCAATCCCCGGTTCCACAAAAATAAAAAAACAAAACCAGCGAAAGCTGCTGCTGAGCACCACCCACCGGAAGCGCAGCCCCTAAAGACCTGCTGCTGTGTTCTCATCCGCCCGGTGCTCTGGGGCTGACACTGGGCCGCCTTTGGCTCCTCCCCAAAGCCAAAACATCCGTAAGGGAGGCAGTTTGACTCCTTTCAGGAGAAGGAGGCAGCCAGGACAGCGCAGCTCAAGACCCACAGGAAAGAGCAATGCGGAGCTGCTGCAGAAAGTGGCCAACACCGTGGGATGAGGTCTGCAACGTGACGTGAGGATTCTGGAGGGGACGCATGTCCTTGGGTCTTTAATCATTTTTAAGAGCTTCAACATTAAGCATGCTTTTCTATCACATTGTGAATCTTTTCAATTAAAGGATATTACATTAAGAGACAGGAAAACAGTAGAGAAATCAAGTGAGATTACTCAGTACCTCAGATCCTGAGTAAACGATTTCTGTGAGTGAAGCTCAGGGCTTCACTATACAGTTCAGGCTGGCTTTGAACTTGCACTGATCCTCCTGCGTCACCCGAGTGCTGGGATCACAGGCACGAGGCACCATGCCCAGCTGGACCACTCCTCAAGTGCCAGGTAGCTTTCATAACAAGTGGTTGCAAGTGGAACCAAGGGAGAAGAGGGTGTCCCTAAATTTAGAATGAATGAAAAAAGAGCAATGGATTATGGAATGAAAGTGGTCTGGAAAAGACTTTTTATTTTATTTTATTTATTTATTTATTTATTTATTTGTGGTACTGAGGATCAAACTCAGGACCTTGCACTTGCCAGGCAGTGCTTATGCCACTGAGCTATCTCCCGGCCTCAAGACTTTTAAATCTTTACAAGCATAAAATACTCAAGAAAACAAGTTCTCAAAACTTGTATGCTAGGGTGGATGGCCTGTGAATCGCTTTGGGGGTTTTCTTCTCAAAGGCTTATTTCAGTTTGGTTTCGAAAATCACAGTCACCCCTCAGTGATCCGTAGGTGCTCTCTTTATTTCTTACCACCTGGACAATTATAAATTGTATTTCTAAGAGTTGATGAAAAGTGTATCTTTGATGGAAAAAAAAAAAAAAAGGGAAAATGCCAGTGTAGCAAAGTGGAAAGGGCGTTGGTTTAATATGGACTAGAACTCAGATGGTCTACAGACTGTAGGCAGCGCCTCGTGCACGCTGGCGCACGTTGTGGCCTTAAGGCTCCGGGCCTGTGCGGCCCCTGCCCCACAGCGCCTGTGGCTCTGGGCTCTGGGCTGACACTGATGCCGGGCAGGCCTGCTGGTGCCCCTGCCACTCTGGGCCCGCTTCCACCTGCACTGCCCTGGGCCAAGCCCGGCCACACAGTGCACCACACATTTTCTTGTAGCACCGGGGAACGGAGCCAGGAGCCTGCGGAGCTGCACTCCCGGTGTTGCTGCTGCTTTCCTGAGACAGGGTCTCGCTCTGCTGCCTGTGCTGGCCTGGGACTGAAAGTGTGTGCCCCCAGGCCCTGCTCTGCCAGGAACAGTCACCATCCCCAGAACGCGGGCTGCGCGGGAGCAAGGGCGAGGGCGGGCCTGTAGCTTTTACTTCATAAACTTGCATACT